CACCTAGTTGAGGCTGTCTAGACACCTTCTTTGCTTCAGCCTGTGTCAGCATATAGCATTCCTTCGCAGCAACTTGATCGCCCCATAGGTTAATCACCTCTTTTTCGTCCAGAGACAAGCACCGCATCACCTGATGAAGGGTGGACGGAACTCCTCTCATCCGGTGTATCCAGTCTCTTCCCATGATGAGATTATAAGAAGGATGGATCTCTGTTAAGACAAAGTTCTCATTCAGAGTCCTCTTCGCCGCAGTTACGGATAAGTCTATTACTCCAAGGGGATCTACTCTTGTGTCATCGAACCCCATCAATGGGCTAGAGGTAGGTCGAATAGATGATGACGGGGTCTCTAGCTGCTCAAAAACTATCTTTGTGATGATGTTGGCGCTACTCCCTGGGTCTATCAAAACCCTCTTAATCATGCAATTTGCCACTAAAAGACTGGTGACCAATGAATCCTCATGGGGGAGCTAAACTCTGGATAGGTCGCTATCACCGAATCCAATACTGATGCTACCCGAAGCGATAGCATTGACTGAGGATATCTTCCTGAGCTTATGGGCTGCCCTCAATCTGGATCTGTATATCACCTCGGACTTTTGATCATCTTCAGATCTGCCATGTATTGTATGAATGACCTTTACCTGAGTTCCTTCTACCTTGTGAAGATAGACCTCGCGGGGCTTCATATACTCCTTTGTCATGAGGTAGTCTGCCAGCTCACCACTGGATATCATATTTTCCACTTGTCGCCTAAGGGATCTGCAATCATTGGTTGAATGCCCATAACCTCGGTGATAAGTGCAATGTTTACTTTTGTCCCTCTGCTCCAAGGGTTACTTCATTGGCTGCGGGGCTGTGAACTTCATCTTATTCTCTTGGAAGAGCCGAGCCAAGGTAGTTCGGAGAGGTGTAAACCCTTCCTTTATCCTTTGCCTCTTCTCGGGTGCTTGGTTGATCGGCGTTGAAGCACGTTGGCTTTTCTAAATCTTTGAATTTGGAATTCTCTCTCGAGGCTTGTTTTCCACTGTCACGAGGGTGGCGTGCTACGCTCGGTGGGCTACATTTTTGTAATACACTTAATTTTAAAAGGGATATAATTGGAATTTTACTATTTATTTTATTATTTTATTATTATTATTATTATTATTATTTTGGGAGCTTACGTGGCTATGTGTTGATGTGTTTATTTAATTTAATTAATTATTGATTTGCATTTATTATTTGCGATTTGAATTAGTTAGATGGATTTAATTGCTTTATGTGAATTATTTGAATTATTTAAATTGTTAATTGTATTGTTCTATTTCTTTTTCCACTATGGTAAGATTAGGTTAGGGCTTTAGTGTTATTATCACCCTTAATTATGCAACCGACATTGGTATAATATAGGTTGGTCTATGGGTCGGATAAATCATTTAGGGTTTAATGGAACCTAGAATTGGTGGTCTATAAATATACCAGTGATGTTCTGCCTAGGGTTGAGGGTTATATTCACGATATAGAAAAGGCAGAAGTAATTTGGGAGAAGTCTGGGAAGCAACAGAGAGGGAAGAAACAAAGAGGGTTGGCCGGATACTTTAAGACAATGTCAGTGTAAGGCAAGTTCTAATCCTATCTCTATTCCTTAGACTTGTGTTCTTTGCATGTCTAATTCAACTCCAGGATTAAATAAGAATCAAACTTAAACTGGATTACATGTCTCTGTTATATTTCACTGAAGGTAGCCATGAGTTATACTACTTGTTTTATGGTTTTACGTATTTCAACACATAAAATAATTCACGAAACGGGATGTATGATGCATCTGAATTAATATACAAGGAATTAAATTAGCTTGTAACACTGAAATGTATTAATTTTAAACTGGTTGCATGTTTAGGATCGTTTGCAACTGTATACATTTTTTATGTTTCGTATTGGCTTGTTTTACTTTGTTCTTGAGTTTTTCTGTCCTAATTAGGATGGATTTAAGATTAAAGGTTTTAACATATCTGGGGCATTGAAACTTAATTTTAATCAGTAGAAATCATTAGAGTTAAGGACTGATCAAACAAGACGTCACCGGAGAAGATATAGTTGACGAGATGAAGTAGAGAGGAGGGGAGAAGTTGGAGGAGGCTCCAAAAGGTTTTGGAGCCGGCTCAAAGTAACTTAGAGGCGGCTCCAAGTGGTTTTGGAGCTGGCTCCATCTAGGTTGGAGGCGGCTCCAACTTGTTTAGAGCAGCCTCTTTTCAGTTCTTCAGTTTCCTGAGTTTTTGGGCGACTGTTTAGGCTGTGGTGCTCAGATTTTGGGCTTTTTAAGTTCTGGCAGGAACTATATTGAGGTGTTTTGAGATGATATAAGTTCATAGTATAACTTTTAAGAGTTGATTACTAAGTATTAAAACACCATTGTTCAGGGTGATACATAACATAAGTCGGAATATGAAAATCCGGATACTGTCATTGGAGATGAAGAGTTTAATCGCTTAAAAAACTAATTTAGCAGATTACTATGGATGGTTACAATATGTTAATCATGGAACAGTGGTAGGAACAAGTATGTTTAAGTTTTAAATTACTGCTAGCTACGGATTAACTGACATATAGAATTTAACTCGTTTCAGTTTTTGAGCATAAAGACATGTTAAGTTGATTGTTGTTTTGATGTCGTATTTAATTCCAATTGTTGTTTTTAAATCATTGGGATGCTATTTGGTATTAATAAGACCCTTAGGATCAGTTTTAGAAACCAACTGAAGGGTAGAAAGTGGCCGGGGTCGAAGCAGATCATCGGAAACGAAAAAGGAAGCGGACCAGTGGGCTTCCCCCTCTTGGAGCCGGCTCCAAAATATGGAAGCGGACCAGTGGGCTTCCCCCTCTTGGAGGCGGCTCCAAAATATTTTGGAGGCGGCTCCAAGCACTTTGAGCCTACTCCAAAAGTTTTTGGAGCCTGCTCAATGTTGGTTTAAGCTTGCTCTATTTTTTTTTAGAGTAGGCTCTTTCCATTTTAATACGTACGGTAGGTTTTTAGCTACTGTTTGGGCACTTGGGGTTTCTGAACAGTTTTGAAACTTTAATGGGGTTTTAAATGATTATTTTAGGATAAAATTAAGGTATTATATTGCATAAAATACCCTCTTTGTATTAATAGAATTAACAGTACGTTATTTGACAACTTTGCGTGCGATTAACAGCTGGAAGGAGATTTACTGATTAGTTTTAATCTGACAGTTTAGGGTGCTATAAAATGATTCTAAATTTATTTTAAAAGCACTGTGAAGTCTTTTAATTAATAAATTGGACTTGTGGCATAGGGTGTGGTTCTCTGCTAAAAGATAAAACAGAAGATAAGTATACAACTTAGTACGCTGTTACCGGATGGAAAGAATTAAATTGCTTAAATTAATTTAGCGATTTATTGGACTATAATATGATTATAGAACTTATTTTAAATACATGATAGAGTCATTGTTATATTAAATTGGAACTATGCATGTTCTGGATGTTAATTGTTAGAATATTAAATTCTTTGATGTAATTACATGGATTAATATTGGATTTTAATTGCGAGATTTTTAATCTTCTTTCTGCAATTATTTGGATTTTGGTTTTGGATTGTAAATTGCTAAACTGTTATGTATCGGTTGTAATTTACATGGTTTTGGATTTAAATTGCTGAAATACTAAGTACTCTTCTGCAATGGTAGGAATATTTGGTTTTGGACTGTAAATTACTGGCTTATTATTTATTGTAATTTACACGGATATGGAGGATTGTATGCACCGGTATGAGACGGTGACATACTAGATATGGTTTAGCTCAAAGCGCTAATTCCTACCTTATGGATGTTAATTGGTGAACAGTTTTACCTATTCTATTAATTATATGGATTTTGTGGATTGTATGCGCCGGTATGGGACGGTGGCATACTAGGGACCGACTGATTCAAAATACTCAGTCCAACCTATTTTGGAATAAGGGCACGGGTTATTAAATAAAATCCTCCTTATATTTATGAGTCGGTGCGGTTGAATACGCCGAACGACTTACTGGATTTATTGTGGATGGTTAGGAACGGAGTTTAAATATATTTTTATGATACCGCGATGTGAGCTTGAGTCTCAGCGTCGATGGTTATGGTGCATATATGTAATAGGATGGGTAGCTGGCTGTGAGGGTTGAGGTATACCCTGTTTAGGTTTAGGTACTCATACCCACCTATGGGTGCGTTTTTCGCATATTGCCTTCTATTCAGGTTGAGACCCTCTTCGTAGCCCAGTGAGAGTCCTGTAGTGTGAATATACATACGTACGGATTATTAGCTATGGTTGAGTTGGTTAGAATGTATATGCGTATTGAGTCTCTGCTTGGATTGTAGTAGGTTAGAACTTGTTCGTGGGCCTGAACCACTACTATTTTTCAGGTACTCATCAGTTCTAGACTTAGACTTGTTCGTGCTGAGCAGAAACGGTCACTCACTTTACCGACGACGTAGGAGTATTCCTCATGGTTTAACATTGGATTTCTTTTCAGTTGTTCATTTTTCAGTATTGGATTTTTAGTAGGGGTCCACAAGTTAGATTCCCGAGTTGTATTAGAAGTGGAGAAGAAGTTGGATGTATCAAACTATTTCTTATTTATAAAATTTTTATTTCTGAGGATTTTCAATAAAGGATATTCGTTTTAGTTTCTTTTCAGCAAAATTTTTATTCGTTCCTATTATATTAATTGTATTCTGTGTTCGTTAATTGCTAATTGGTTTGATGTCCTCGGGTAATCGAGCGTGGGTCTGGCCAACCCGCATCAGGAAATCCAGGGGTATCACAATTTTCCTCGAGCCGAATATAAATCTGGGCCCTGGCATTGAGAGTCTGCATGTCGGGAGGAGAATATTTGACCAAGGAAGTGTGAAACTTCATCCCCTGAATCATTGCAAGCTTAAATGTTTCTATAGCAGTTGCGGGATGACAGTCTGCTATTTCCAAGGCTTCCATGTTAAATCTAGATAAGAAATCCTATAGTGTTTCCCCCTTCTTTTGCCTTACGGTAAAGAGGCTAGCAATACTCTTCTTTTGCTTCTTATTTCCGCAGTATTGTGCTAGGAACATAGTGCACAGTGTTACGTAATCCAGGATAGACTTATGTGGCCTATTCCTGAACCACTCTAGTGCTGCTCCTGTCAAACTGGTAGGAAAAACTTTACACATCCAAGGGTTATTACGGTCATCCAAAGCCATCTTTTGGGCGTAATGATCTAGGTGCCGAGAAGGATCTCCCGTACCATCAAACTGAGTAAAAGAAGGCATGGTAAATTTCTTGGGCCACTCGACTATATACACATCGTCAGTGAAAGGAGTTTTGACCAGGGAGTTTTTGTGCTCTCTAGCCATCTCAACAGGTGTCTGAATCTTCAGGAGTCTTTTTTCATCAAAGGTATCCTGAACATCTATACGATCTGGAATTCCATTGGACCATACCGTGAGCTTATGGCCAGACTCGACTTGCTCGTCCTGCGTGCGACGAGGGACGTTGTCTGAGGCAACAGCCTCGGACCTTGCCCTCTGTTGTTGCTGAACCTCGTTTGGCTGAGCCTCGTTGGGTTGTGCCCCATTAGGCGGAAGCCCGTTAACTGGAGGAATATTCTGATTATGGGGTGCTGCTATGTCACCTAGTGGTGGCGGTGGTGCCAACTGAGCCATCGCCGTTTGCAGAGTGTTATTTTGCTGTTGAAGCAAGGCGATCTGAGCCACGCTAACTTCGTTTGCTTGACGAAGTACGTCAAACTGATGTAGAAACTCTTCACGCATCTTCTGCATCAACTACGTCTGTTGATCTGTTGAAGATCCTCCGTTCGACATTCCGGATGGTAGTTACATGATTCACTTGTGAAACAAGAGTGGGAATATATTTGCACACGTTCCCACAAACGGCGCCAAAGTGTAGATGCAAAATTCCGCTCAACCAATAACGATTGAGAAAAATAATACAACACACTTAAGAATAGTGAAAATAAACAAGAACAATGTATAAAGAAGTATAGAATTACTTGGATCCTTTTATTGGAAGTCTGGGCCTTTATTTATACACAAAATTGGTAGAATTAAAGTAGGACTCGGGTTACTTGTCCTCCAATTCTTCCCATACATGACTTTCTTTACAAATAGAGTTCTTTCTATCGTATGATATTTCCTACGTAGAACTTGCTTTGTATAGAACTTTCCTTCTGTGTTGAATCATTTGCTTAATAAGACTGGACAATATTTAATTGTACTTGGGCTAGATGCAACTTGGTTTGAATGACTTGACCAATGGGCCGGAACTTCAACAGTGGTGACGTTAGGATGATTAATGTTTTTACCTGGCCTTGGAGGTCCAATATAAATGATATTGGGTTAAAGAATAATGTAATTTGGGCTTGATCCGGATGGGCTTCTGAAATCTACCAAATGTAGATGTATATAGTGATGACGTGTTCAATTCTTATTGGAGGGAGATTTTTCCCTCCACAAAGGCCTTTACCATTTTCCTCTTCTCTCCATCTCTCTTCTAAAAAAAACAAGGTTTCAATTATATACATTTACAAATGTAATAGACTTAGGCTATTTTACAAATCAAAAATATATACTCAAGATGCCTTCACTTCCTCATAAAATGGGTTTCTTACTAACAAAAAAAAAAGAAAAAAGAAGAAGCAGATAGTACACCGGATATCTATGTACTCAATAAATATCATCATATTTACATAGTTCCTTAATTAATTGATGATATTAATATCATTCATGATCATGGGTTCGAATATATAATACGTTACTAATTCTATAATTTAGTTTACTCTTTTTTCAGTAAATATAATTTAATTTACTTTACTTTGTTCTGTTCATGCCATATAAAATGAGATTTCTTGTTTGATTTAACTCAGATTTGTTAGTTCTTGCTTGAATTAAATTGTTTATTGGTGTTTAATGAGTTTTTTGTTCTCTGTTGATAATGTAGTATTCAAACCTGAATTGCATCAGATAATGTTAACATTAAATAAAATTTAATTTAATTTTTAAATATATATAAATTTTTATTTAAATATATATGTTAAGAATTTTTTTTAATTATAATATTCAATTTCATGTTTTTAAATTTAATTATAGATTTAAATTCAAATTTATTTATCTACATAAATAATAATGCAAGTCAATATTAAATATATTTAAAAATTAAATTAATAAATTTTATATAAATTTTATGTATTATATATATGTATATATAAATTAGAAAAAGTTACCCAAATTAAATATGTTATGTATTATGATGAAACATGTTACTCTATGTGCCGGTGTAAGATATATTAAGTATTATGATGAAGCATGTAGTTGGAAAATATGAAATGTGCGTGATATGAAACAGTATCACATCTGAAACAATGAAGGGCAAAAATGTTATTTGTATCATCAAACAACACTTCACTCAATCAAATCAAAGTCAAATGGGGTATCATTGTCTTTCTATATGTAAAAAGTAGTCTGACACATCTGAAAAGTAACTTTTGGAATGTCAGTGAAAAAAAGATCAAACATTTGTAATATGAGTGACAATTATTTTCGAAAGATGTTTCAGTGTAATATTTGGCCAAACTTGAGGGGGTGTCAGTGTAATTAACCCTTAATTCTTTATTTCTTTTCCTTCTTATTCTTCGAATTTCTTTTTGTTGTCTTCAAAAACTTAGGTATTCTCTTTCTACAATTAAAACCTATTTTTTCCTTCAAAGTTCTCTCTCATATATATATATATATATATATATATATATATATATATATATATATTATTTTAACTCCTTAAAAATTTCCTTTTTCTTCTTAAAATTTTTTTTTTTCTTGCACTCATGCATAATTTATATGCAATAACCTTCTTTTTTTCTTTTCTTATTCATTTTTTATTCACTTATTCTAATGCAGTGTTGTTACACTAATATATTTTCAGCCTGTTTTCTTGCTTATAGTTAGTTGGAAAAAAAAAATTTATCCAGGCTTAATATGCCCCCCTAAACCAAATTCTTGCTCCGCCCCGGTGTGTATATATGGGACAAGTGCAGAAAACACCTTTAAAGTATGCTCTGCGTAACATTTTTACCACTATTTGAAAAAGTATACAAAAACGTCCATAATCTTTTAACATTGTACAAAAATATCCCTCCTGACATAAATTAGCAATATAATACCTGTTTTGTCTTTTTACTCTTCCGAAAATACCCAATGAGGTATATATGCTATTAATCTCATAATATATGGATGTTATGTGTATATTACCTTTTTATTTAAAAAAAAAAAAAAAAAACTTTATTCTCTATGAATATCTCTAAACTTTTTTTTTTTCATACCAACACTGTTAAAAAAAAAAAAAAAATCCCGATTAATGTGTACACTGGTTTTCGAAGTTTGGAGTAGATTTATTTTCTTTAGTTTGCACTTTATTTTTGTTTTTGTTTTTTTATTTTTATTTTTACTTTTCTTTTATACTTTTATTTTTATTTTTTATTTTTTATTTTTATTTTTGCTTATCCATTACCGGCGTCCTCCAATAGTGTCATTTTCAGTCATTTTATAATTTTTTTTTTTAATGGTTCAACAAGGGTAATTTAGTCAACTTAGGGTTTAAATTTCTCAGAGGGGCCTCCAAATTGAAACTTTAGGGGTGTTTTTTGCACGTGAGGGACGTCCTCTAATAATGTCATTTTGGTCATTTTACAAAATTATTTATTTTTATATATTTTATAAAATGGTTCAATATGAGTAATTTAGTTAACTTAAAATTTAAATTTGTCAAATGAACCTATTTGTACCAAATTAAAACTTTAGGGATATTTTTTGCATGTGAGGGGTGTGATATGCAGTATAAGCATACTTTCGGAGTGTTTTATGCACTTGACCCATATGTGTGTGTGTGTGTAAAAGAATTTTGTAAATACTAAGGGCCCGTTTGGCATGCGTTTTGTTTTAGGCGTTTTATTTTTTGCTAAAACAGAAACAGTGTTTTTGTTGTACGAGTGTTTTGGAAAAAAAAAAAATCAGAAGCACGTTTGGGAACAATGTTTTGCTGTGAAAATGTCGAAAATAAAAATATACAAAATATGTTTGGTAAGTCATGCGTTTTAAGAATTTTGAAAACAAAACATGTTTAAAAATTGAATTAGTTGAGATTAATAGTTTACATCAATTTATATGAAAATTTTTGAAGTATAGGAGTTCAATGGATTCATATAAGCAACATTCAACATCAATTACTCAATTATGTTTAAGGAACATAATTAAGAATGATTCAAGTGAGTGTTTACCACATTTTCTAATTCAATGTATTAAAATTGCAAAAATGAGAGGAGGTTTTGGAAGTGCTTGAGATCCTGGTACCTGTCAGACATCATCCACCTAATTTGTAGTTTAATTGAAGCCCAAAAGTCAAGTTTACATTAACCTCTCCAATCTCCGATAACTAATTTTTTGGGTATAAAAACAATAATTTCAATACATCCTAGTGAGTCTTCAATTTCATAATCCCCACAACCTATTCAAATAAAATTTACTCAAGTGGTAAAATCAAATGTATAACATTGGAAGTAAATGACAATATACCAACCTACGTATATTGAACAAACAATGGAACCTTTATTAAAAGTTGACATAAATAAATCTGTTTTGAATCTCTATACACAACTAAGTTAATTGTATTATTTATTACAAGAGATAAAATGTAAATAATACATGGTAGCAAATATTACAATTTTCTTCTAACTGCCCAACACATCTCAAAAATACTAGTCCAGCTTTTCTTGTTTGTAATATATAGCGACTTGGAAAATGAAAAAATAAAGTGAGTATATCTCCACTGGTCACATACATATAATAATCAATCATTAAAATTCAATGAGCCATCAAAGTAAGCACACCTTTTTTTTCAAGCTTAGTTCCAAATTTTTGAAGATGACCTCAAATTGAATCCCATCATAGCATTTACATAACAGCAGGAAGCACATGCAGAAAATATAAGTCAAATATTAGCCAATTGTCCACAGCATATGACAGTAAACAATGAAGCAATAGTCATTTTTGCATTTCCAAAAAGTTATTATGAAAACCAAGATACAAATTAGATACTCAAAAGTATGTAAATATAATTAATTTGGTAAAAAAGGAGGCAATTACCCTGTGATCTCTGTGATTAAAAAACCAGTTGTAAGTGAAATATGGCCTCTTTACTTTGTAGATTGGAGGCCATTTGATGAATTCAATAACGCACATGTCTAGGACTAAAAAGAAGAATGCATGTTATTAACGTGGAAAGATTGGCCATGTGGAGAAAGTGTCCTAAGTTTAATGATAAGGAAGACAAGAAAGGACGAGTCCTTTAATAGGCACATCAAGGAATAGAATACATAATGGTCTAATAAAAACTTTTAATAGGTGTTCACCATGTTCTAGATTTGAAGAAATCTCATATTGTGGAAATCCTTATCATATGCTGAAGCCAAAAAGGCTTAACACCTGGCAGTTTCAATTGCCTTCATATTCGACTTTCTTTTGGGCAACATGTTGGGTATTTTTAAAAAAAATGTGAGAGAGAAAAAGGAACTGACAGAAAAACAGTGCCTTTTGGGTTGTCTTCTTGCTGGTTGCACTCCTTTGATATTTTTCTTTCCCTGTTAAAGATATTGTATTGTAGCCTTCTATTTTATTCTCTAAACTTTTCTACAAATTTTCTTTGCCATTGTTTACAAAAATCCTGATTCTAATGGAGTCTCCATAGATGCCTGGTAGTGATAAAAGAGAAGAAAAGTAATGACAGGTATATTGGGTGCGTCATTGTTAGGAATTAATTGTTACTTATAACTAAAGAATCAATTAGTAATAAATATATATCAAAAAAGGGATGGAGTTTTCAAGCTAATTCGGGCCCTGAATTCTTCTATTTATTTGATTTTCATATCGAATGAAAATCAATCATACATAGGGAATGGAAGTCCTTGTTAATTGGGACCATCAGGATTAATAAAATAAAAAGACACTTGAATCAAATAAATAGAAGACACTCCACCTAAAAAAGAACACATCAGCTCTTAACTTACATGCTAATTATTGAGAAAATTCAACTTAAACTTCGAAAATTTTAGATAACAAGAACTGAAAATTTAACCAAAACCCATTATTAGATTGGCCTTTCCATTGTCTATTCAAAGTGAAACCATTGTAATGCTAAGAAATCTTCCTAAAGCAAAACCCATTGTTAATTAGATATAAAAATAAAAATAAAAAAATTATGAAATCTAAACAAATAGAGGTTGGGTAATAGACATCAATGACCAAACCTTGCGACCCATCAAACGCAAAACTCTCAAAAAAATTTGAACTTTTTAGCAAACCATTTAACGACTCTAAAATTTAATGGATTTCCCAAATCAATACCAAGCAAAAAAAAAAAAAAAAAAAAAAAAACAGCAAAAGAAACTTCGAACTTGCAATCAAACTCCAAACTAAAAAAAAAAAAAAAACTCAGATATTCAAACAAAGTCATCAAACCTGTCGAGATCGTCGAAGATAACAGCAAAGAAATGCAGATCGTAGAAGGTTTCGGCCAAAAACAGCAGTGGAACCTTGGATTTATATGTCCTTCGAGTTGTTGACAGCAGACGCCAAGAATCGCCACAAACAAGAGAGCAAATGCCAACCCTAGCAAAAACAAAATTTTCTTTTTATACCTCCTTCAGTTGTTGTCTCCGCTACAGTAAAATGATGGTTTTTGTTTCCTCCGCTATAGTGATTTTTAGTCCAAATAATACCGAAATAACAAAAAACACCAAAATGATGTTTCAGATTTTGGGCCTTTTTAAAAATTGTTTTACAACTGTTTAAAACACAACAAGTCTAGTCAAACATGTCTTGAGCTTTAAAAAGATTACTGTAACAGGCCTAAAACAAAACAAAATAGATGCCAAAACAGGCCCAAGTGTTTTTTGCAACAGGTACCAAGAAGCAGTGTAAAAGCAGTGTTTCGGCATTATGGATCAAGCTAGATTCTAGAATCACCAGATTTGAAGTCCATCAATTATTGCAATTTGATTTCCCTTTTTTTTTTTTTTTTTTCTGCTTCTTTTTTCTCCTCGTTGACAGTGATAAGAATATTCAAACTCTACACCCACCTTCAGGGAGCAGAAGAAAGGGGATAAAGTCTGTAATTTTATTTGTATAATTTTTATACTATAATATTGATGGTAAAAATACATTAACTGCCTTTTGACTTAACTCTGAATTACTTTGGCGCGTAAGTTTAATTTTGAAGGCTTGATTCCATGCATATTGTATGGGGACAGTTTGTTTGTTTCATAAATTGTAGGACGAAAGTGTGGAACAGTTATTTATTTGAGGTATACTTAGATCTTCAGTGAGGGTATACACTATTTTAATTATTGATTTGGACCAATAAAACATGAGCACGTCATCTTTAATCATCAAATAAAAAATGATAGAATATATATTCACTTATCAAATCAGATATGGTGGTTAATTACTTAATCTAATTTTGTAATTAAAAGAGGACGTACTCATATATTATTGGTCCACATCACCCGTCAGAATAATGTAGGTCTAAGTATTGTCCTACTCATATACTTGTTTTTGGCATAGCCAGAGTCACAAAGGCACTTTTTACTTCCATAATATAACACCATTATTTGGTAATAAATGGTACATTTTCGAATTGAAGATTTCAAGAGTAAAATCATTGTTGCGCTCTCAAGATAGATTGGAGTTATATTCTCGAAATAATGATGTTCTCGAATTGCATTATCAAAAACCAACCTAATTGGAGTAAAATCATTGTTGCGCTCTCAAGATAGATTGGAGTTATATTCTCGAAATAATGATGTTCTCGAATTGCATTATCAAAAACCAACCTAATTGGTTCAATTTTTTAAAAATAATTTTTAAGAATTCTTTAAACAAACAACTATTTTAAAAAAAATTATAAAATGTAATATATTAAATCATGTATTTTTTAAACTAAATTTTAAAAAACCCAAATTTCATTGTTATTTAATAGTTAATGGGGACAATGAAAGCACCTTTCACTTGAATAATACGACACTATTTACTTTGTACTAAATGTTACACTTTTCAAAATAAATAAGGAAAAATTATTTGATGGTCTTGCATTATTCGTTTCGATCAATTATCATTTGACACCTAAGTAAATTTGTACTCTGCATAAATGAGAATTGGCAAATGATGATTGGTCTAAGACCATGTAGTAATTTCTCATAAATGAGAGTTGTGTTCTCCTATGAGATTTTGTCAAGTTATGCAGGATATAGTATTTAAGGTTTATTACTTTGATCTCTCTTAAGTTTTGGTCTGTGTTCTTAATGACACTTTTCCTTCTCATTTTTTTATTTATAAAATGACCATGTTATCCTTCCTTTGGAGAAAGTATTAAATATTCCTAGGTTATAGTACTCCAGGACAATGGCAGTCCTTGGATAATAGAGGTGGTGGGATTGAGATAACCTTGGATACCATATTTCGGGTATTTAATATTTTCTCCTTTATCTTTCCGTACTAGTGTTTTTTTAATAATTTTGGACCAAAAAATAATTTTTATAAGCGTGTGTATTTTATCCAAACCTTGGGGTTATTTGTTTTAAGTACTCAAAATAGTAAGTTGCATTCTCTCAAAATAAATGAGAGTATTTGTACTAGTGTTTTTTTAATAATTTTGGACCAAAAAATAATTTTTATAAGTGTGTGTATTTTATCCAAACCTTGGGGTTATTTGTTTTAAGTACTCAAAATAGTAAGTTGCATTCTCTCAAAATAAATGAGAGTATTTGTGCGCGTATATATGTTTATTTATTTAAATATAATCCAATATAATCTTACATTCTCCAAAGCTACATCATTTAGCTCACATGTGATCCATTTCCGTACAAAATCAAAGGCAAATTTGTAATTTTATTTTAGACAGATGCCAATTTTTTTACCTGATAAGTTGCTGAGCAAGTTGTCATCTTCTAATCAGAACTCACCAAACTCCGACACGACTCGACTGTTCAGAGAACTGAAAACCCTCTCTCTCAATCAATCATCTCACCATGATGCAGTGGCCAGGTTCGTCTAAAATCATTTCAGATTTATCAATTGAACAATTATATATAGATACAATTATACGTACATGCATATTAAAACACACAATCCAATCGCAGCTTAGATCCTCCTCTACTTCACTTTTAAAAAAACATTTGGATTACTGGGTTCACTTCTTTCTTGCCTTTAAGACTCTGATCTTGGTTTTTTAATTTGGGTATATTCTTTTCTTCTTTTTTTTGGTTAAATTAATTTGGGTATATTCTTGTTATTTACGCTGCATACTAATCCTGTTACCAGTCTCTTTCTTCATTAATTATCTTGTTTGAAATCATTTTTTCAATTTTATAATCATTACCTTTCGTTTGTTTACAATCTGATAGTTACATTTATTTAACAGTTCATATTTGGTCAAAGAACGGTTGATGAGATACATGTTTCACAAAACTTGTTGCTAATTCAGGTAAAAATTTCCTTATCCCCCTTTGCTGTGTCAGGGTCTTTTATTTTATTTTATTTTATTTATTTATTTATTTATTTATTTTTTTTCATTATCAATATATTTAATTTATTACCCTTTTGTTTCGAAACGATCTTGATTGGAAACTGCAGTTAACCAATTGGTGGTCATTTGGATCATTGATGGCGGAACTCTTGGGACCAAGGTTGTACAGTTGTTGTAATTGTCGAAACAATGTTGCCCTTCACGATGATGTCATTTCTAAAGCTTTTCAGGTGAAGATGTTATACTGGTTTTTTTTAATACGTCATAGATGCATATAGATAGATAGATAGATATGGTAAGTGCTGTTATCTTATAGCTGTTGTGATCATGGTGTTTTATTTGTTAAATGGATTCAATTAGCATAAAAAGTTCTTTTCTAGATGCAGCACCTTTGGATTGAGTGGGCGCAACACCCTTTATTTTGAAGGTGCATCACCGTCACTTTGAGGTGTTGCATCGTCACTTTGAGGTGTTGCATCTTCGAAATAAAGGCGTTAATTACCACTCGAATTAATGATGCTACACCTTCAAATCTTCGAAATAAGGGGTGTTATGCATTTAATCTAACCGTATTGCACCTTTGAAACACGGGTATCATTATCTCGAAGTAGTGGTGTTGAAACCCCTTTGGATACTGTTGGAAAGAGTGACTTGTCAAGTAAATGTGGAGACAATAATTACTGATGAAAGAAGAAGAAGAAATTAATAATAATCAGTAAAAGAAAAATATAAGATTTTTTACTTTATTGATGAAGTTGGGGAAATTAAATTTCAATTATGCAAGGCACTTATTTTTATATAAAATGTTTGATTTATACTGATAATTATATCGTTCTATGAAAAACCATTGTGGCACAGTCATAGAAGTCCCAACATTGTATCTAAAAGGGATTAGTGGAATTAGTATTTTGATTGTTGTCAATTGTTAGAAAAACTGGGGGGAAAAATTGTACTTTACTTGTTCTGTTGTGGCTCTGTTAGAAGCTTTGTATTTCAATACATATCCCCAATTTTTTATTATATCATCTGGTTCTTAGGGAAGACATGGTCGTGCATTTTTGTTCTCCCATGCAATGAATATTGTTGTGGGGCCCAAAGAGGACAGGCATCTCATGACTGGTCTCCACACAGTTGGTGATGTTTACTGCTGTGACTGCCGCGAAGTGCTGGGTTGGAAGTATGAACGAGCTTATGAGGAATCACAGAAGTACAAGGAAGGGAAGTTCATACTAGAGAAGTCAAAAATCGTCAAGGAAAACTGGTAGTCCACCAAAATATCCCTGGTTCATCTGGCCTTATGTTGGTAAAAGTGTATGTATGCTCCCACATGCCTATTTTGTTCAAAACATTCTTCTTGATTCATGTTCACTCATTGTTCCTTTCTGTGCATTCTCGCTGTCTTCTGTGTGGAAACTGTATCGAACACTATTGACGTTGTGAATAAATCTGTGGATATATCTCTGGCTCATGCTTATGATTCTTTTATGTAATTTTGTTTACAGAATCTCATCAGTGTTACATTTCTCTATTGTGGATTTAGATTCAAGAATGTTTGTGTTTGTGGTAAGTGGGATTTAAGAATGTTGTTCCTGTAGTATTACTTTTTTTTGGATGATTACTTGTCAAACTTGATATGGTCTCTTTCAATAATAATGAAAACTTGGAAAACTGTTCATGAGATATCTTGTCTATTGTGGTTGAATAATTAGCATCTTGTTGCTTTACGAAATTGCATGGCTACTATCAACATTGATGGTCAATTGTATGGTCAATCCTATTTGTGCCAACATTCTTTGTTTTGTTATGTTTGAACTTTAATAGGTTGAAGTGGTCATAGCAACAAAATTGTTTAGCTTTTGCGTCTATGAAGATGGTGCAGATGGCATGTATAATTCTTTGGATCATTTGTACAATTACCATGATAGGTTCCTATCCCGGTTTTTTGGCTTTGATTGGCTTGAATTGGCTATTACGATCTTATAAAACGTTTTGCAAATGGCTTTGCTTTAAGTTGATCATGATGAGAGCCGAAAATTAGTTGAGAGCATGTAATAATGTAGCTGTAAATGATTTGAATAATTGGCAAAGTTACAAACATTTTAGCCAATGCCGCTCAATACTTATTGTCTATTACTTTTTAAGTCATTCCATGTGTACTTCAATGACTTGGATGCACCTTGACATTTTGATGTCTTTATCTTCTGTTTCTGGTTATTCCGAATTAGTTGTAAAGGTTAACTTTGCTCACAGAACAATGAGCTGGTTGCCGAAGTAGTGCTGTTCTCTAGGAGAAAGGGGAAGTCTAGATAAATGGCAAGGCTAAAATAAAATTTGTATGAGAATAAAGGAAAGCCAAACAAGATGGTTTGCCGATGTGTATAGAACTTGAAATGCCCCATAATGGCTATATGGGGTTGTTGTTTGACCATGGTTCCTGCCGGACCCGGTTATTTACTTCGGAGTACAGTATTGCTTTATTCCCTCGGTAAACCACTGGGTACTTGCTTTACTTGTATTCTCCTTCTTGTTGAACTGCCCTGTTAGATTAATGTTGGTGTGAAATATGTTGAGCTGCAATACATGATGAAGATAGAATTCTTTTAAGGACAATTTGGACCAAGTTTTGTATACTTGTATTTTCTTTGTGAATTGTGCCAAATATTTAGCTTATTCAAACCGAACAAATCTTGTCTACTGTATTCCTTCGGTTTTGGCCCTCCCCTCATCCATGTAAAACATTCCATGTGCCATGCAACACTCACTGTTGAGTCACCTCTCTAAGTTGCAAAAGAAGCCGAACAAATTAAGATTGCCTTTTTTCTCTTGTTCTTATCAGGTGCTCTTCATCGCACGTGTACTTTCAGTTATAGCATCCCAATATTACAAGCGTAATATATAGCATGCTAATATTACCAGTCATGGGGATGTACTTCTCATCAAGCAGTTGGAACATAGCAACTGTACTCCCTCACAATTTCTGCTGCTTCTACTTGAATTGCATATGTACCCGCAAGTGCTTAGTTGTTGGTTGATTTTGTTCATGGTTGGTTCGACACGCCTTAGTAAAATTGAGTGCTCTGATTTAAGATCTTGTCTAGATAAAGCATCTGTACAGCTGATTTGCTCTTGTTCTGCTCTTCTTGTCCATGTGTGTGCGCGCGCGCGCGCCGAGATAGGTGGTTCTCGGCATGCATCCAATAATTTTATGTTGTATGACTACTGTGGACACGGGATGTACGATAATCAAAGACTTTGAGATAAAATATGGTGGGTTGATGTTAGAAAAGCGCTCATAATTGGAAATCTCGGGAAGAATTCAAGAGTGTTACTACTGTACAGCAACAAATGTGCCAGATAGAATTGAAATGCTTGATGTTTTAATCCGCATGATTGCTTGCTTTTGACAACCCAACTGAGGTGGATGGATGTCGCTATAAGATTAGTAAACAATCTGAATGATGCCCTCTGGATATGAAGTCATATTGTTAGCGACCAGTGTGAATTTACCGGATTGGTAAACAAAACCAAATGGGATATACATCACTTCTCTTCAATTGATTAAAATCCATTCATTTCAGTTGCATTCAATATCATCATATTAATGTGAATCTGTGCAGATAACGTACTAGTAGCATTTTAAGGTTGGATTTGGTTGTCAGGAAATGCATGGTGCAACCACAAAGAAAATCAGAAGCAAAAGCAACAAACATGCTTAAAATCCCATAGAAAATAGGAAAGGTGAGTACTAAATCCAGTTATATAAGTTTGTGGAGAAGCAAATTATTAATTATTATTATTTATTTATTTATTTAATTTTTTTTTTTTTTTTTTTGTAAAACTGTAAAACTAGTAGAAAAATGCACCATACAGGCAATTGAAGTGAGCTGTATGGCAATTCAAAATGGATATCTAAAAAGAACAGAATATAGAAATTTCATCCCAGCCTTCAAGACTGAAGTGATATAAATACCACCCAAAAAATAGAGAGAAATTTGAAGTAACTGAGACTTCACTTTTCATAAAATATTTAAAATTCAAAAAAATAACACTCATGTATAAATCAGAAAAATTCACAATTCATAATTACCACTTGAAATTTCAACACTTGGATATTGAGTTCCTGAATGTTCACCTTTGCAAGAGAAGTGGTATCTGGAAGAGCCGTGGCTAAATAATGAGGAGTGGAATCATGAAACAGACTTTCACTGGAAACATATAAAAACCAAATGGTATTTAAACAATATCCAAGCGAAACGAGTTCTTAATAATGAAATGACTTACTCTTCAGTCAAAATAATGGGTCAAGGAAAAGGGCAGCAATCGAATAAGAGTATAAACACATTTTGCAGCAAAAGAAAATCTATCTACATCAAATAATGGATGTCTTTTTTCTTCATGATCCATTTCTTTCTGGCGTTTTCTATTGCCTCCTCCCTCATCCTTATGAGTTGGCGAAAACATTCGTGATATTGTGAATCAATGGCACCAAGCTCAAATTTCAACTCTTTGCACTCATCCTTGTCTGTTGGAAATTGAGAAGACATGCTCAACAAGCTCAAATCATTGGATATTGCACTGCACGAATCAACAAAGGAGATATCTGAGTTCTTCGTCATCTCACTCATTATGATAGACCCACCAACACTGCCTTCGGATCTTCCAGAACCATACTCATTCGAACCCTTGTTGCTTTCACACGTTACGTAACCAGTAGATCTTAAAGCATCGTCATGATCAGCATCCAATGCAGATGCGGCCTTCTCTTTGGCTGATATTTCTGAACCAGCTGACTCTTCACCATCATGATTTTCCATTTTATCAAACTCAGAGAGAACATGCTGCTCAACAACGGCCATGCCACAAACTGATCCAGATTCCAGAGAACACCTCAGTGGGTTCTGATCATTCTGAATTAAACGAGAATCCTCATTATAACTTTTTACTCCATTAGAATTACCAAATGAAGGTTTCCAGTTGGGAAAAAATACAATGATCATGCTGTCGATTAACTCAGCTATTAAAGCAACATCTTCATTTGACAATTCGAGTTGTTCAACCATCTCACTGGCAATTGTAAGTGCAGTATCAGAATCAAGATAAAACATAAAATGGACATTCCTCACTCGACCTGTTAGAAACAAAACACCACTAAGACTGTCATTGAGAAAACATAACAAAATAAAACAATGCCTTTTCTGTACAGAAGAACTACATACCAATCAAGTCAGCAATGCGCAAGATTAGTGAAATTGAGTTATCATCGTTTTTCTCACCCCTTAATCTGAATTCATTATTCTTATTGGACCTCTGAAACTCTATGGATGAAATAGGAGGAGTTTCAATGATACTTCCCGTAAACGTGCCAACTGAAAGCTTATTGTAGTTCGGGTCTATATCCATGAAAGAAGAATCAGAGTTGGGCACGTCTACTGGTTTGTGCACAAAATTGGGCATCTGCAGAGGATCACGTATGGGGCCCTTCAAATTTTCAGATGAAATGAAAGGATCTTTCAAGAGCTCCCATGCAGGCAACCTCTGAGATGCTGGACCCAGGCACTTCTCTATAAACTGCTTTACTTGGGGGTCATTAACCCTACCAAGTGCAGCTGGCCTTATACCCTGCAATAATTAAAAATAGAAAGGAAATTTGACTGAGCACTATATGAAAAATGAAGGTTGGATGATATGCTGGTAGATTGTGAACTTACAGATGAAACCTTCTTATATATTTGTGCTTGATTTTTGCATTCACTATATGGGTATTCACAAGTAACCAACTCTAACATGCACATGCCAAATGAATATATGTCAATGAGCTCATTGTATTCCTCTTCGTAAAGTTCTGGAGCCATGAATTCAGGAGTACCTGTGAGAGAAACAAACTGATCATAAATTTTATTTAACATGGCTCAAACAAAATGGTAACATTTACAATGAAATTGAAGCTATTACCAATAACACTTCTAGCAGTAGGCTTCTGCATGATAGTCGCCAGCCCTAGATCTCCAATTTTAACTTCTCCATTATTTCCATTAACAAAAATGTTATCACATTTTAAATCCCTATGAATGATAGGAGGGTTGTGACTGTGGAGATAGTGTAAACCTCGGAGGATCTGCCTAGCCCAGTTCTTTATGGCCTTCATATCAACGTTCTTATGCTTCTTACGGTATCTAAATCAAAAAACAACCACGAATACATTGAAATTCATGTAAAACCAAGGAAAAGGAGGAATAAGGATGAGAAATAATGAAAGTAACGCACTGTCTCAAGCTCCCTGAGGTGAATAACTCAGTAATCATGTTGATAGTTTTGTTCTCATCATCCACCCAAGAGCTATAGGACTTTATGATATTTTCATGTTTCAAGGACTTCAGCAAGTGAACCTCTGAATATAACCTTTCCAGATGCTCAGGTGACTGTAATGCATCGTCGACACTCACTTGGTTCCAAGCAATTTCTATTCCATCAACTTCATCAAACCCCTTGTATCTACACAGGGTTAAATGAGCCAAAGACAAATTATTTTTGAAGCCAGTGGATGTTTCTACTAATGAAAGCAGATACTGAATTTATAAGTAGAATACGCAATCTGCACACAAAGAAACAAAAGATGGGACTAGGAACCATACACAATCTTGAATGCTCCTCTCCCCAAAGTTTCATTACACTGAAGGAAGAAAACACAGAAAACAAATGGTGATGGTATCACTAATCCCAATTAAGTAAAATAAGACAATAGCATCGATCAACACATGATTGTTAATTGACACTGAACAATGGAAGTATGGGTCTTCAACCCACACTTTTTTTTTTTAAGCAACATAGCTGATCCCAAAACAAATCACTAATAGTATGTTGTACAGTTCATCAATGTTTATTGAATGATATCTACAAACAACAAACTATTCTTCACCCTAACAAAGAACAACATTTATGAAATCTGATTGTAAGAATTCATGTCATACCCGAATGTATCGACCGTTGGGGGATTTTTCAACCTCAGCTACATCAGGTTCTAAATTTGATTTTGCCTTCCCAAACGATTCATTCTTGGGCAACATCAAACCTGCTTTGGAATTCATAACAACAACAAAAACAATTTCGATCCGAAATAGAGATTAAAAAAAAGGACAGAAGAAGCGAATAACTATAAGACCTAACAAAGCCGTTCGGAACTTGACTCCATTACGGAATCAAACGAGAAGCTGTTCAGAGAATGCCTCGCAGGCAACCGAATACGAATCAATTGCCGATCGGAACCGAAACCCACATCCCACCACCAAGTTCATCCCCGAATTTGGATTCAGATGCATGCCTCCACCACTTTGTTTTCCAATTAAACTCATCACGATATCTATAGAATCAATGGATTAATGAGAGTAATCTAATTGCTAAAAATATATGTATATATACACACACATTTTATATATGTATATAGATAAATCGACAAATAGAAGAACAAACTAAGGGGTAAGATTTAGGGCTTGAGCCCTAAAAATCTAACCCCCTATCAAGGAGGAACAGAGATATACAGAGAGAATATATAAAACCCTGAAATCTTTTTCTAAAGACCAAAAGACAGCGAGGAGTGAAATTGAAAACCCTAATCAATTAAAATGAGGAATGGATGCGATGAATGGGGAGATAACTTGTACGCCTGTGATTACGCATAGAGCATAATGTACACGTAAAAGACCACGTTTTATACTACAGCCTGGCGTAGAGTATTGTTTGGTTGAAGGGATAAAAAAAAAAACGAATATAAAAAATAGAACAAAGAAATAAAATAAAAAAAGACATCCCGGGGTCGTGTGGAAGGAAATTAATATTATCTATTTATTTTATTATTATACCTTTTAATGATATGCTTTTAATTTACTCCATAAAAAAAAAAAATTATATATATATATAATTTTAAATTTTTTTTTTTTTTTTTTACGTTCTTCCAATCAAATGATACATATGAATTGATTGCTCCATCATTCAACAATCATTCTTTATAAGTATGAATTTTTAGACGTCCAAAATCACTTACACTCTCACATCTGAATGGAAGCACAATTATGACAAAATATCTAGGCTCACAATAACCTACAAAAGTTGTATCACAAAAATAAGACACTTAGCGAACTTAATTTACTCCTCTGCATAGCAAAAGATGATGTACATTCAATGCAAGTGAATGTGTTTTCGTGGTAGACATTGAGGGGGAGAGAGAGAGAGAGTCATTAGGCAAGGAAGGATTTGACAACTATAATGATATGGGTAGGAGGGGGCTTCGTGGAGATATTTGTCTCCATTGAATTTTTTTATTTATAAAATGTCTTTACTTTTACTTGTAATATTTTAAAAAATAATTTCACTTAATTTTTAATGATATCTCACTATATATATTATTATTGTTCAAGGTCACCCTTCTGAGTTACTAATGGCTTGCTAATATATTGATGTTTGTTTAGAACCATTATAATTGTTTCAATTACCATATTTGTAGATAATAAGGGACAATTTAGTAAATCAATGCACCAAATTGTTGGAGGCATCAAGAACCAAAAGCTTTTGGAACATTTTTCAGGTGAAAAGGCCAATAGCATTCGAAAGACATTACAAATAAAATATTTGACTTTGGGGAAGCAATATTCAATTATCTTTGAATAGATTTTTTTTTTTTTTTTTTTAAATGACAAAAAATATACTCACACATCTTGAATAATCAACTTTTTTTTTTTTGGAAAGTGAAAAAGTACCATCAGAGCCTATATTAGTTTGTGAATCAGCTAAATTATTGTTATTGTATTTCTAGGCAATCTTAACTCTAATGGGATTTCTTCATCTTTTGACAAAAAAAGTTGAGAATTCAAGTTCCCTGTGAGCAAGTGTGTGAGTGTATTTTTTACCCATTTTTTTTTTATAAAAAAAATAAAACTATTCAAAGATAATTGAGTATTGTTTCTTCACTTTTCATAATTACGAATTTTTGGACGTCCACGATTACTCACACTCTCACAACCACACATCTAAACACTCTCACAATCACAAATCTAAACATGAGCGCGATTATAACAAAATTTCTGCTTGCTTACGATAACTTACAAAAGTTGTATCACAAAATTAAGACACAGTGAACTTAATTATACTCTACATAGCAGAAGATGATGTACATTCATGCAAGTGAATGTGTTTTCGTTGTTGACATTGAGGGGGATAGAGTCATTAGGCAAGGAAGGATTTGACAACTATAATGATATGGTAAAAGACACCGATTCATTAAGAGCTCTGTGGAGGCATTCGTCTTCATTGAATTTTTTTTATTTATAAAATTATTTATAAATTTTGTAAAATTTTTAAAAATGTTCCTATTTTTATTTCTAAAAAATTTAAAAATATCTCCATACAATTTTTAATGGTATCTTATTATTATTCAATGCCGCCCCTCTAATACACAATTTTCTGAGTTATCACTAATGGCGGGCTAATGTATTGATGTTTGTCTAGAACCATTCTAATTGTTTCAATTACCATATTTGTAGATGATAAGGGACAATTTAGTAAATCAATGCACCAAATTGATGGAGGCAACAAGAAACAAAAGCATTTCGAATGTTTTTCCAGTTAATAACCCAATAGTATTAATAGGCTAAAGAATTATTAGAAATACATTACAAACAAAATATTCGACTTTGGTGAAGCAATACTCAATTATCTTTAAATATTTTTTTATTTTATTTTTTAAATATGGAAAAAAATACAATGACGCACATGTAATATTCATACGGGACTTGAATCCTTAACCTTTTATGTTGGAAGGTAAAGAAGTGCCGTCAGAGCCTATAATTCAATAGTAAGAGGGATGCAAAAACAATAAATTTAACTGGACTTAAATGTAGCTGGTTCACAAACCATTTCTCCAATTTTTGCTGCACTAAAAAAGACCGGCTAGAAATGCAATAACAATAATAGTTTATAATAATTGAAAAAATAAGTTGTAATGTAACAACTATCAACAATAAATAAACCAAGTAACATTACTAGAACTTATATGTGATATAAAAACCTAGAGTTAATATAATTAGAGCTTATACTTCCAGTTGTACGAGAGATATCATGTTTGGAGTATTTTTAATTTTAATTAATTTTTTTTAATTTAAAATCTAGTTAATCTATTCAATACTCTCAAACAAAACATGAATGTATTTTATTCGTTCAGCCCATAATTTTTGTTATGACTTTTTTTTCCTCACGAATCAAAATATAAATACATACATATATATATATATATATATAACATGCTTAAAACCCCATATAACATCATTTAATTATAAAAAAACAATCATATTAAAATAACTAAACATAATAAGATCACAATGGCAGGCCAAAATGAGAGTCTGTTTCTTCATATATAGTTTCGAGAAAAGATAAAATAATGGTTTCACTGGAACTTGTGATATAAATAATTATTATATCATCACGATCAGGTCCATGGATATCGACACGAGGTTCCCACATTTAAAACATTAAATATAGTTATACACACTCTCGTCGTTGTCGTAATCAATTGAAGTTGCACTTCTGAAGACATCGGGGTGTCGTGGTGTAGTTGGTTATCACGTCAGTCTAACACACTGAAGGTCTCCGGTTCGAGTCCGGGCGACGCCATATTTACTCCTCTCTTTTTTCGAACTTTCTTCTCTTTTTGGTCCTTCTTGTCTTTTGGACTCTCACTTTTAAATTTCGTATGGCAGTGGTTAGTGAGGAGGTAGAGAGAGAGACACACACAGAGATGGGTCTGCTCTCCCACAGAGTTGAAAAAAGCGAGATCGTAGCAGGCGACCATATCTACACTTGGCGAGTTGCTTTCACTTACTCCCATCACGGTCTGTAATCAAATCTCTATCTGGATTTATGAATCTTTGTTTGATCATAGATTTTGGGTTTATTTTTCTTCATAGAGTATATGGATGTTTAATTGGGTTGATTCCTCGATATACAAGTCTCTTTTGAATCTTGCTGAATCGGACTGACTGTCAATGTGATTTTTTTTTTTCTTTTACCTAATTTCCTTATTCGCTTACTTAATTTGCATTATGTTGACAGATTAATGAAAAATTATCATGAACAAAAGTTGCTAGTTGTGATGCACTAGAACATCACGTTTTCATCCATGGGAGTTCATTGCCATGGCTATGTGACTATTATTGAAACCCTATTCACCAAAATTGTGCCTGGCCCCTTTTCTGCATTCCGGTGCTTGACATTTCAGCAAAAGATTCTGGTCTAAGTAGCATGGACAAAAATAGGCTGGTACTTAAAAAGTAGAATGAGGACACAAATATATATAGGTATAAACTTCTAGTTTTATACATCAATGATATAGGAGAACTACAAAATTTTGGTTTATTTCCTAATATTTATATGCTAAAAGTTGCATGATATTGAAGATGAATCTATACTAATATAACAACAAATTTTATTTTACATAATATTATCATTCTTTTATATGGCACAGATTAAGATGGATGATAGGAGTGACACTAATAAGTGATAAGATTAGAGAGACCTATGCAATGGTGAGAACAGGAAGGATAATTTGCATAGAGGGCAGGAGGCAAAGAGGGGGCCAGAAATTAACTTGGGATGAAATCATTAGAAATGAATTTAAAAAGTTAAATTTTAGAGAAGAGATGGCTTGTAATAGAAAAGAATGGAAAAAAAGAATTCATGTGGCGGATCCCATGCATATGGGATTGAGAATTTAAGACAAGATTGATGATGGTGATGATATTACTACCCTCCTGTTATACTTTTGTCACCACGATTGTTTTTTTCTTATTTTTAAAAGAGTTCATTGCATACTTGATTTGTGATTTCCATGTGTATATACCAATCTTTTCTAAAGAAAACTGCTGTTGTTTTTAAGAGGTTTTTTCTGCATAAGACTTGTGTAAGGAAGTGTTTAGAATGTCTCAGTAAAATAATACATTTATTTTTCAATTATAAATATGTTCATGGGGTGTAAGTCATGTGTCTAGGAGTGTCTGATGCACGTCTGACATGGGCACAAAAATTCTGGAACTGAATTTTCTGATCCTTGGAACACTTGTATCCATCAATGATATCCGTTCTGAACACTGGTTGAACTGACACTTGTGTCCAACTGCATCTACATCTACTTCAGACATTTGAAAAAGTGTACACTTGTATCCACTTGTTTGCCCTGTTTGTATATACTTTTGCTTAAGAAGATTCAAGGGAACAAAAAAGATAAACATAAAAGGTCCTTTTAGCTTATTACCCAATCCCAATGTGTACAATATCATTTCGTAAAACCCAAAACAGGAAAACCATCTCCTTCTCTCTCTGTTAATTCTCCGGGCTGTTCTGTACCCTTCGATTGGGTTCCAATATCAGGTAGGTCTGCTATTAAAGCTGGTGGCCAACTGTCTTCAACATTGCCCACTCTCTCAAATCCTTCGCCCAGAGATTAGGATAGGGGTACACGACCCTTCCTTTTCCCTATGACCATATCCCCTTCCATTAGCAAGGGAGGGGCCGATAGATCAATAGGGAAAGGCGAACCTGAAAGGGAGAGACCTCTAGATTGCTTGATAGAGAGGGAAGAGGTCGAGTTTGACCAAAACTCGCCAGCTGCTCGTGCATTAGTGGTTGAAAAGAAGAGCCAAAAGGCGGGAACAAAAAGATAAACATAAAAGGTCCTTTTAGCTTATTAAGGTGTTTGGTTCCTTTTTCATTCTTTTCAGTTTTTCCATATTCATGCATGTCAACAGAGATAACTATATATGTTTAGTATATACAAAGTTCTACATATAATTCGCAATCACCGTAATTGGGAATGGAAACATGGGATTCATGCAGCCAACCCCAAGTAATTGGGAAAAGGCTTGGTGGTTGTTGTTGTTGTAACACACAATCACTGTAAAAGGAACTCAGACCCACAAACGGACACGTGTGTAGACTTTTGGTTGGGGATGCAGTGAATGGAGATGAAAGAACCTATCAAATACGAGAGTTGATAGGAGATTTCATAGTTGTCAGGAAACTTGCAAGTTGTCACTGATCCTGCAATTTATGTGAACTTGTATGCAAAAAGGTTCTTTTGGAACCTATGACTGGACTAGCAAAGAGGCTATATTCTACCTGGATTGCTAAACTTACTAATTTATCTTGTAATTATATGCATTGCTACTAACAATTATCTGAAATAAATATTTTTCCGAAAGCAAATTAGATGTTTTCAAGGACTAATGTGACATTAGTACTCCATGATTTGCATTGAAGTATGGGACTGGATATGTTCTCATTTATAGTTGTATCAAATTTCTGGTGACATCATGTAATGCTGTTTGTACTAAAGTTGCAAATTCTGGTTGAGCAACAGCATGGGAGCAAATTCCTAAGAAAAGCCTTGAAAGGGGTCTGGGATTTTAAAATTTTGGAAGAAAGGACATGTATTTGTTTGCAAAGAAATTTTGGAGGCTTAAATAAATTCAACCTTCTCTCTGGGCTCAAGTTTTGAAAAAATCTTTCTAAAAACTAGTTTTTGGAAGTTGGAAGCCATCTTGGTGCTGGAGAAGCCTGGTTGATGAGAGAAATCTGCTCGAGAGAAAAGTTCTCCGGCAGCTAGGTAGTGGAAGAAATGATTAGTTATACAGGATGATAGATAGATTCAGTCCCAAGATCCTCTTGTTGGTAACCCTACTTTCTCATAACAGATGGAGGACCTCATTAACCCCAGGCACAAGGTTTGGGACCTCATCTTAATTAGATCTTTCATGAGATCGCAAAGACAATCATCAGTACCAATTAATTTCAGAGACAAAAGGCCTTGAGGAAATTCCTAAGAAAAGCCTTGAAAGGGGGCTTGGATTTTGAATTTGGAAGAATGGACGTGGCTTTTCTAGAGAAGAAATTCTGGAGGCTTACAAAGGTCCAACCCTCTATGGGCTCAAGTTTTGGAGGTTTCTTCCCCAAAACTAGAATTTTAAAGGCTAAGGTAGGTTGGACGCCATCTTGGTGCTGGAGAAGCCTTCTTGATGAGAGGGATCTGCTCGAGAGAGTTGTTCTCTGGCAGGTAGGTAATGGAAGAAATTATTAATTATACGGGATGATAGATAGATAGATTCAGTCCCAAGATCCTCTTGGTTGTTACCCTTCTTTCTCAGAACAGCTGGAGGACCACATTAAACCCAGGCAAAAGTGTTGGGGCCTCATCTTAATTAGATCTTCATTAGATCACGAAGACAATCATCAGTACCTATTCGTTTCAGAGACAAAGGCCTTGAATTGCAGATTGGGCAGCGTTGGACCCTTGCAGATTTTTTTGTTAAACAGGGTTTCTTTTGTAGGGATGACATTTTGTCATGCTTTCTAGAGAAACATTGTCACTTAAGAGGTTGCTTTTGTGCTCTAAATTCTATTCCATTGAGGTCTAGGGTGCAGTTATGTAACTATACTTGCTAATCTCATTGACATTCAAGACTTGTACATATCATTCATTGTTCATGACTCCTTCGTTCACCCTTTTGACACTTGGGAACACTCGTGCAGGCATCTATGTGGGTGGAAACAAGGTTGTTCATTTTAATCGCGAACAAAATATCGGTCCAAGTTGGTTTTCATCTCTCAGCTCCTTTGATCCCAGTTCAGAGTCTGCTCCCGACTTCTCTGCTTCAAGTTCAAAGGTCCTAGCAACCTGTCCAACTTTTCCCGACTGTGGTTTTCGGCAACCTAAGAGTGGGGTAGGGCTCTCTTGCTTGGATTGCTTCCTTGGTGATGGATCCTTGTATCGCTTTGAATATGGAGCCACCCCGTCAATATTCCTTGCCAAATTCCGAGGTGGCACGTGCACCACTGCCGAGTCTGACCCACCAGAAACAGTGATCCATAGGGCCATGTATCTGCTTCAAAATGGATTTGGAAACTATGACGTGTTTAAGAATAACTGCGAGGATTTTGCTTTGTACTGCAAAACAGGTCTTCTGAGTCTTGACCAAACAGCTCTGGGAAGGAGTGGTCAAGCAGCATGTGTTGTTGGTGCTCCATTGGCAGCCCTTCTTTCTTCTCCTCTGAAGTTGTTTATGTCGAGTCCTGTTGGTCTGGTCACAGCAACAGCCGTAATGTATTGTATGAGCAGGTATGCTACAGATGTTGGGGTTCGAACTGATGTTATTAAGGTGTCAGTGGAGGACATTGGTTTGTTTCGTGGTCGGAAGAGATCAAAGGAACTTGCTGAAGACACCGAAAGCTGTGAAGCACAGGTTGCGATTATTCCAACTGATACTCCAGCTTCTAAGCGGCATAGATATAGATGATGTGAATCAGCATGTATTATTTCTCGCATGTCACTGATAAACATATCATTTACAGAACCCAAACAATGTGTACTCAAGTTCTGGATTGTCTTCATGTTTGCTTTAGAATTTTGTATACATGGTAAATATAAGAATTGGCAAGATTTCTGAGTCTAATTCCTTTCGCAGGGCTCCAAAAACATAGAGCAATTGGGTTTAGTGGTCTGTTTTTTGTGATTGTGGTTTTGGGATGTAAATGTTACCATTCAACTGCTATCTTAATGGTACCAAACTTCAAAAATCAGTCAGGGCAATAAATGTTCAGCCAAAGATGACATAGAAGTGAAGTATTTTAAGTAGAGAAATATTACATGGTATGGCAGCTAACTAAATCTCCTCAATCATAACCTTGTTCATACTTGTTTTGTTCTCCATTTTCGAAGCAGCACCCGTATTGCCTCTATAATCCATTGCTGAACCCTTCTCTAGCTCCCAAGGAAGCCCAAGCTTCCGCTGGCTGCTCATGGACCCAACAACACATCATAAAAAATATCTTCCTCCCAGCAAGCTTGAGCTTACTCCTTATTTCCAATCTTTTCGACTTTCTTGGTTTCTCCCTCTTTGCAGCCTGAATCAGCTTCTGCAAATCACAGAGCAAGCAAACTAAAGCAGAGCCCCCAAGGTAGAGCAGGCTTATGACATCCCCATGTATCCGTAATCAGGAGAGCAAGTTTTCTCCAAGCAATTAGACGCAGATTCCAATACAGTTTCCGGCTGGGTAATGGTGGGGATGGTTCAGTTGAGCTAAGCTTGCTGACTCGGGGTAGAGGGTTTTAAAATTAAAGAAAAGGGGCACACAATATACAAGCCAAAATTACACAGCTAAGCACTTAAATATATAAAACATCCATCTAATTTAAAATTTAAAAAGTATTAGAAGTTGACAAAAAAATAAAACTTTTCTTTTTTATTCAGGAAAATATAATCATTCTACGTGAAAATGTAACCGGTTGGACTTATTCTGAATAATGTTTTCAATCAAAGAATGCAATCGATTCTAAAATGAAATGCAACCGGTTATACTCTATTCTAACTTCAAACTTACTCTAAATCATCCTCACACACACCTACCTTGACTAATTATTGTTCAATATCAAACCAAAATTGTCAAGAGTAACTTCACTTGAGTTTTTTACTTTCGAAATGGAGACTCAATTAAATATAAAAAATTACAACTCCATTTATTCTTCGTTTTATTCAAATTACAATTTTATAAATTTATCAAATTCTCATTAATGATCAGGTCCATGGATAACTGTACCAGATTCGCCATTGTAACATTTTTCCAATTTCAATAGCCCAAAACTTCTAACTATAAATTTTTCTATATAATGTCTTCGCTGCCATTGAACTGACATCATCGTCCATCAAGGTGTCGTGGTGTGGTTGGTTATCACTTCAGTCTAACACACTGAAGGTCTCCGATTCGAGTCCGGGCGACGCCAGCCATTTTGCGTTTCCTCACCCAAAGCAAGTGTTTAACGACGAGGCAGACGGAGGGACCGCGACGCCTACATTTTGCTCTTCTCCTCCTTTTCCTCGCCATTTTGAGCTTTCACTTTAAATATCACGCGTCTCTAAACTTTCGTATTCCAAAGTCTTGACTCTTGAGTGAGGAGGTAGAGAGAGACACACACAGAGATGTGTCTGCTACAAGTTCACATAAATTGCAGGATCAGTGGCAACTTGCAAGTTTCCAGTCACTGCGCCCCCAACCAAAAATCTAGACATGGGTCCGTTTGTGTGTCTGAGTTCCATTTAGGGTGATTTTGTTAAGTGTATAATTTTGTATATGTTAAACATATGTTGTTACCTCTTTTGGCATGCATGAATTTGGAAAAACCAAGAAGAATGAAAAAGGAAACGAACAACTTAATAAGCTACGACGACATTTTTTGTTTTTCTTTTTTCCCTTTAATCTTCTGAAGCAAAAGTATATCAAATAAGGAAATAAATAAAATAAAAAATGGAAACTAGTGTACCACTATTCAAATGTCAGACGTAGATGCCGTTGGACACAAAGTTTCAGTTCAACCAGTGGTCATCGCGGATATCATTAATAGATACAAGTGTGCTCAGTATCAGAAAACTCGGTACCAGAATTTAAGAAGCACAGACACTTCTACAATGTGGTGCTGTGCCTGTGTCGGACATGCATGAGATACCAACATTTCACCAAACAAGTGACTGACATGGCAAAAATCTATTATTTTAGGGCACATTATTGAGACATTCTAAACACTTCCTAACAAAGTATTGTGTAGAAAAAAACAAATCTTAAAAACAACAACAGTATCCAACAATCTTGAAAACATGAACATACCACAAAGTGCCTTACCTTTCTTTCTTTAGAAAAGATTGCCATATACACATGGAAATCACAAATCAAGCATACAATGAACTCTTTGTAATGGAGGAAAAAAAAATGTCATGACAAAGGTATAATAGGATTATATAACTAAAACTTGGTGTTATATTAGTATTGATACATCTAAAACTATATGTAACTTTTAGCATCTAAATATTAAGAAATTAACCAAAATTCTGTAGTTTTCTTATATTATGGGTGTATATAAATAAAAGTTTATATCTACATATTATTGTGTCTTTACCCTACTTTTTAAGGTTTTAATAGTTACACATTGCTGCGGTAACGAACTCAAATGGATGAATAACGCTATCCCTCCAACAAATGTGGTGTTCTATGTGATTTTGATGCCCATCATTGCAAGTCAGAGATCTCAATCACAACTAGTAACTTTTTTTCATGATTTTTTTTTTAGTATAAATCTATCAACATAATGCAAAATAAGTAAGGGAAAACGGAAATCAGGTAATAGATTAAAAAAAAAAAAAAAAAAAAAAAAAAAGAAGTGAAAAAACACATTGAACATTCCAATTCTAGGTGTATAGATAAGAAATAGCAAATCTTGAATCCACCTAAGTAGAGTGAAAAACAGAGGCCAAATGAAGATAGTAGTGTTGTTTTTGTTCATTACAACATTCAAATTAGGGATTCATAAAATGGGTAGAGAGAAAAAATACTACGTAGTTGATTACATAGAGACCGTGATGAGAGTAAGTGAAAGCAGCTCGCCAAGTGTAGATATGGTCGCCTGCTACGATCTCGCTTTTTTTTTTAACTCTGTGGGAGAGCAGACCCATCTCTGTGTGTGTGTGTCTCTCTCTCTACCTCCTCACTCAAGACTTTGGAATATGAAAGTTTAGAGACGCGTGATATTTAAAGACACTGGCTAAACTTACTAATTAATCTTGTAACGATATGCATTGCTCCTAACAATCATCTACAGTAAATATTTTTCCAAAAGCAAATTGGATGTTTTCAAGGACTGATGTCACATAACTACACCATTGTTTTCATTCCGGTGGCATCAAGTAATGCTGATTGTACTAAAGTTGCAAATTCTGGTTGTGCAACAGCAAAGGTGATGACAGGTCTCACTGTGTGAGATGGGAAGAAATTCCAAAGAAGGGCTTTGAAAAGCAGTTGGGATTTTGAAATATTGGAAGAAGGGACTTGGCTTTTCTAGCAAAGAAATTTTAGATACATTGTCAATTTGTCACTTTTGAGGTTGCTTTTGTGCACTAAATTCTATTCTGTAACCATTGAAGTCTAGGTTGCTGTTATATAACTATACTTGCTAATCTCATTGACATCCAAGACCTGTATATATCATACATTGTTAATGATTCCTTCATTCACCCTTTTGACACTTGGGAACACTCATGCAGGCATCTATGTGGGTGGAAACAAAGTTGTTCATTTTACTTGCGAGCAAAATATCAGTTCAAGTTGGGGCTCATCTCTCAGCTCCTCCGATTCCAGTTCAGAGTCTGCTTTTGACTTCTCTGCTTCAGGTTCAAAGGTCCTAGCAACTTGTCCAACTTTTCCCGACTGTGGTTTTCAGCAACCTAAGAGTGGGGTAAGGCTCTCTTGCTTGGATTGTTTCCTTGGTTATGGATCCTTGTATCGCTTTGAATATGGAGTCACCCCAACAATGTTCCTTCTCATATTCTGAGGTGGCACTTGCACCACTGCCAAATCTGACCCACCAAAGGAAGTGGTCTATAGGGCCATGTACCCGCTTCGAAATGGATTTGGAAACTAAGACACATTTAATAATAACTGCGAGGATTTTGCTTTGTACTGCAAAACAGGTCTACTGATTCTTGAGCAAACAGCTCCCGGAAGAAGTGGTCAAGCAGCATGGAGCACCATCGGCTGCCCTTCTTTCTTATCTCCTGAAGAAGTTTATGTCGAGTAGTCCTGTTGGTCTGGGTACAGCAACAGCCTTTATGTGTTGTATGAACAGATATGCTGCAGATGTTGGGGTTCGAACTGGTGTTATTAAGGTTTCAGTGGAAGGCATAGGTTTGTTCCGTGGTCAGAAGGGACCAAAGGAATTTGCTGAAGACGGTGAAAGCTGTGAATAACAGGTTGCGATTATTCCAACTGTTATTCCAACTAGGATGTATTCTCTCTGGTCACTGATGTCAATTCATTTACAGAACCTGAACAATGTTCCATTACCTCTGGAGTGTCTTATGTTTGCTATTGAATTCTGTACACGGTAAATATAAGAATTGACAAGATTTCTCACTCTAATTCTTTTTGTAAGGCTCAGAAAACATAGAGCAATTGGGTTAGTACTCTGTTATTATGATTGTGGTTTTAGAATGTATATGTTACCATTCCATTGCTATCTTAATCGTACCAAACTATATAAATCTGTCAGGGTAGTAGACGTTATATAGCCTATGATCTTCAGGAAAGATGGGGGCCAAAGATGACATAGAAGTTATATATTTCAACTAAAGAAATATTACATTACTTGGCATTCATCACATGTAAATGGAAATGATTCCTTTGCATTTTTGTTTGCATCCAAAATGGGTATATTTAACCAGAAGCAATGGCAGAAAGTGGATTTTCATTTTGTTAACTTGAAAAAAAGAAAAAGCAGGGAAATGGATACAAAATCACAAGATATGGCAGCTCACTAAATCTCCTCAATCATAACCTTGCTCATACTTGTTTTGTTCTCCATTTTCAAAGCACCACCCTTATTGCCTCCATAATCCATTGCTGAACCCTTCTCTGCCTTTATTATAGCTCCCAAGGAAGCCCAAGCTGCCGCTGGCTGCTCATGGACCCAACACATCATAAAAAATGTCTTCCTCTCAGCAAGTTTGAGCTTACTCCTTATTTCCACTCTTTTTGACTTTCTTGGTTTCTCCAACTTCAGTTCCCTCTCTGCAGCCTGAATCAGCCTCTGCAGATCACAGAGCAAGCAAACTAAAGCACAGCCCCCAAGGTAGAGCAGGCTTACGACATCATCGAGAAGACCAAGGCCAAACTGCAAGCCACCCATGTGTCTGTAATCAGGAGAGCAAGTTTGCTCCAAGCAATAAGACATAGCTTCCATCACAGTTTCTGGCTGCCCACCTAGTCCCAAGACAGTCGATATACTCAAAATGACCATGGCTGAGCCTATGGCATCTGACAACCAATCCCCATTGTAGAGGCGAAGGGTGAAACAGTAACTATATATCATGTCAACTAGGTGAATGGCTAATAGCGGGGATGGCTCAGTTGAGCTAAGCTTGCTAACTGGGGGTAGTGGGATTTCAGGGCCAGGTGGAATGTCGCGTGATTGACTTCCTGTATCATCTTGCTTTGATATCACTGTTTCTTGTTTGATAAGTGGTTGGACGAGTTGGGTTCCATCCAGGCTGAGAGAGATTGTTCTAGCAGAGGGTTTCAACCACCATGGATCCCACGGCTCTATAAACTTACTCAGCTCCCCGGAAATCAGAGCTCTTTGGAGACGTTTCTTTTGTTCAGCAGATAAATCATCATAATTGAGTTGATCTCCTGAAAGAAGGGATGAGCAAATCAACTTAGATTAGCCAGAGCAATAAAATGGAGACCAGAGAACACTTGTCCCAGACACCAGTTCTGTAGTAGTACCTCAAAATTAAAGAAAGGGGGACAGAATATACCAGACAAAAACTTTTGGATAGTCTCCTCTGACAAAGTTGCATCTGACAATTTTTTTTTAAAAAAATACACAGCTAAGCAAACTTTTTGATGGAAAAAATTGACAAGATTAGCAGAAAATGGAATTCTACGAATCACATTATAGCTAGTACAACCTCATAACATGATTATCAAAAAAATATATCAATCAAAAGCAAATACTAGAGCACAACTTTGATATAAAAGCTTGTTGAAAAAGAGAGTTTAAATGAAAGCTTCGTAAACACTTGTTCTCTAATAAAGCAAATAATAGAATGATAACTAACCAAAAGTGTTACCACTAATGTTGCTCTACAATTTTATAATGAGCACAAGATTCATCAAGTTTCATTAGGGACCATTCTTTCAATAGACAGCTCTTCTGACTTCTTGTGGAACCTACATTTCTTTGTTATAATTTCCTAGCACTCATCCATATATCCTTGTCTATACTGCACTCGGTTTCTTTAGACAGGCAGGTGGAGGTAGGGTGAAGACTTTATTCAACCTCCCACCAGATCTCGAATCAAAGAATATAGTATTACTAACAAGTATTTCCAACTAAGCTATCTAGCATCTTCTCCTCATCTCCCAGACAAGTGTCTGTTGCCTGTCAATTTGCCCAGTCTTCTGTAATATAAAAAAATTAAATTAAACTCATGTGATTAGATTTTCCTTCTGCACTTAAAGAAACTACTCAACTATTTCACTTTCCTTATGTGTCCTAGAGTTGGTCTTTGTGAACTAGATATCCTAGAAATGGGTGCACACCTGATGAGTTTATGTTTGTATACACCTTTCTATTTATTCTATTTTTCTAGAAATCATTTACGATACCTAAGTTAAGACATAACAAGCTTCAGCAACATATATTTTAGAGAAGTAAAGTAAGGACAAATAGTAATAACATACCATCCTCATTCATGATATCCATTTCCTCTTCTGAATGAAATCTTTTGAGTATGTCCAGCATTTTTTGTTTAGTTCCGTCATCAGGTTGCAACCGCTGCAGCTCCTCCACTACATTCTCTCTCATGAAGGATTCAGTGCAGTAAAGGCTATGAGACTGCAACAACATACCAATAGAAAGTCAGAAAGCAGAACATATATCAATATCCACTGAATCTGAATACACTGTCACAGAAGGGAAAGCTTCATTCATGACTGATAAAGCAAAAAAGGTAAGAACTATGAAGCACGTATGACATATGATGATATATGCCTTCTCGGCAGCATAAGATCCTTGAGAAAGTCATTTATTTAGAATCCTTGCAATGAGTTTCGCCTGAATTTGTGATTACCTTGTAACAGTTAAGGGAACAATACCGGCTGTTACATCTAGGGCAAGTATATTGTGAAAATTGCTTTTGACATCTGCATAAAAAATTCAGCAAATTTAAGAAACAGAACAGAGAGGTTCCTTCTGTAGAGTGAGAATATTAATGAAACAAGCCAGAGAAAAACTGTACAGAAAATCAAAATTTTAAACCTCATTAATATAGTGAGAGCATGCTAAATACATGACAAATGAGTTCTAAGAACCTAGAAAATATACAGGATTTAACAAATGTATTTAAATATCTTTATATTTATATATACACAGTTCAAGCATGGTTAACTAAACAACCTATAATTTCTACTTCAGGATACTCTTTTCCTTCTGGGTGGTAATCATTGATCTTTTCGTCAATTCTTCGTTATTGAAATTTCACAAGAGAACAACAAAAATCAAACCTTCAGCAGAAGCGTTCTACAACTATAGTCACAGTTTTTTAAGCTAAAACAATAAAACTAAAATACAACAATTAACTGGCAGCTAATTATAGACATGAAAATTTAGTAACAATTATAGAAATTAAACTATTTTAATGAAATGAATTAAACACAATTATATTGGTTTTGATTGAACAGATCGATGATAAAAAAATAAAAAAATTATTATTATTATTAAGAAGCGAAGGACATACACCCGGCAGATTATATGCGACGACGACGATGGATTCATTTGGGACGAAGAAGATGGTGTCTCAGAGGTAATGATTGTCTCCGCCATCACCAAAAAAAAAAAAAAATTCAGATACACATGAGTGAATCAAACGGTTGCTAGGGTTCGTATTAGGGAATGCAGATATGTAGTTATTTAAAATAATGGGCAAATATGTAATTATTTAAAATAATGGGCAAATATGTAATTATTTAAAATAATGGGCAAATATGTAATTTTCAAAACTAATGGGCCAAAAGAGAAAATCAATGGAAAGGGCTTAAAAGTCCGTCTTTTTCAGCCAGACAGTGCCGTCTTGGCGATACAAACGCACGCAATCCTAAGGGGAAGAAGGCACTGTTACACCTAGACTATTGTTCAGGTATTTTTCATCTTCTGAGTTTTTAGGGTTAGGGTTTTTCTCCTTTCTCTTTCTGATTTCCTCTCTGCTTAAGCTAGGGTATGATTGTTCTATCTATACTCTTTATTCTCTCTTTAATCTGATTATTATTTATTGGCTGTGAATTTGCATCCATGTATATACGTATGTAATTCGATGGTTTTTGAACAAATTTCCATCTCCATGAACGAAAGCTTCATCTCTGTGGTACATCATCTGGAGACTTTTAAATGTTTTTTTCACGAATTTTGCAATTACAACCCTTCAAATTGCAAGTATAAAACCTATATAAACCAAAATTCTTTTATCAATATATTATCAAATAAGATAAAATTACCAACATCATACTCAAGAAAGTGTACATACGAAATGAAAAATGGTGGATTGATCGAATGAGTAATTTCCTTTTTTATTTATATACGAATCAGCAACATCATCAATGGTATTTTGGATAAATTGATAAGTGGATCCATAGATGAGAAGTGTCAAAAGTTGGATAACAAAAATGATGGGTGTCTTTTTTTTGTAGAAAAATCACGAAGAGGTCCTTCGACTAGCAAGAGCAACCATGCTAGAAATCTATACTAGTTTTGCATTCATATGCACAAGATGTAGAAGGATAGAGTATACAATACCCTTGGGTACTTACAAATGGTACCTCAACCAATGGATGGTCATCAATTTGCCTTGATAAGAGAGAAACAGGGAGTTTTCAAGAAAAAAGTATGTTTGTCCATTGGTTGGGGGTAACACATAATACCTCTGGGTATTGTTTACTTTCTTGTGTAGGAAGGAGAGATGGTTGTTATCTCCTCTGACAGTGATGGGAACAGATTTCGGACTTACCTGTTAACACATCCGGTTAAGGCTAACCATTTTGGTGGATCTCTATCCCAATTTAAAACTTATCGAAAAGGTGCATAAGGTATCCACTCATGCCAGTGAAATTTTCGACTAATAATTATTGCATCATGTAATTTAGATGTCTCTCCCTTATTTAGTAACTTAACTGAAAAAATATTATGATTTATTTTCTTTTGCCTTTCACTAATTTAGAATATCATCTATGATAGTCTTGAGAAAAATATTATATAAGGAGCCTCCTTGCAATGATTGCTTTCTGAATCATTTTTTTGTTTCTTCTTGTTTTGTTTTGTTTTGTTTTTTTTTTTTTTTTCCTGTATACATAGAAGAAAGAGGGGGAATGTCGTACTTGCTGCCACATCTGCACTCAGGATGGGCTGTAGATCAGGCCATCCTCGCTGAAGAAGAGCGTCTAGTTGTCATTCGATTTGGCCATGATTGGGACGAAACATGCATGCAGGTATACTCATATAAATAAATAAATATAGTATAAATAAATATATATATATATATATATATATATATATATATATATATATATATATCTTTATTCTTTGCCAGAATTGATCTCTTTATTATGATTCTGATTTATTATTATTTTATTATATTTTGCTTTTCCTGCATTAACTTGTTTTTTCTTGTTGTATATGTTATTGTTATTTACTGAAACATGATTCTCTCAATTTCTCGTGTTCTGCTTTTAAGTTCTGTCTTTTCTTTTTTCTTTTTTCTTTTTTTTGTTTTAAAAAAAATAAAAAATAAAAATTATAATTTGTTTCTGGGTTCGCTTAATCAAAATTTGGCTTGTCTTATTCTATATGCCATTTTGTTATTGTTTGATAAAATTGAGAAATAAATACTGAAAATGTTAATAGCTGTCCAGAAAATCATGATTATGTCCAAGAAATGTTAGTATCCGATAAAGTGTCCTCCTCTTAGATGGTAGATGCGCCATGTAAAACATCTTTGAATAATTTTGGCTGCTTAGGTTGATTCTGGCTCAGTGGATTATTGACAATGTATTGCACATTGTGTGACAGATTCGTGTTGAACTTGAAATAGTAAGTTAATTTAGTGTTATTGAACATATTTAATATTAGAATTAATGTTATTCTACAAATCTTAATACTTAATTAGGTAATCAAACCTTTGGGAAAAGAAAAGGTTATCAAACTCATATTTGCCACAACTTGTATTTACCTTAATGCGCATTAGGATGGTGTCTCAAAAATATGGTTAGCAGGAAAGAAGACTGAAATATAACAGCTTGCTAGTTGATGTGATTGCTTTATAACTTTTTTCCCCCTCTTCAAGATGATATGATTTGCATCGTTAACCATACTTATTCCCTTTAGATGCGATGTCAATACTTTATAGAAGTGGTCTTGTAGTTTTGACAAGCATATTATTTATTCAAGTAAAATTGGTAAGCTCATTTGATTATAATGACACTTAGAAACGTAATATGATTATTCTTCTTTCTGGAGGAAATTTTCATGATCTATTTTATATAATGAGTATGTGAATGGCTGAAATAAATTCAACAAATGATATTTTCTTAAATCCATCCCAACACCCTGCTTTAGGGGATTAGTATTTACTATTTAATAACCATTACTTCCTTTTTGTCTGAAAATTTCAGTAATCTAAGGATGGTTTAGGAATGCTCTAATGAGAGATTTTTTATACTCTTAAGGATTGTTTTGGAATGCTCTCAAACCATATTCGTCGGCATAAAATTAGTGCCTTTGAATTAGAAATTGGAGAAAAATAAGTTTAAAGTTTGACTCTTTATTTTATTTTTATTTATTTTTATTTTATTTTTTTTATTTTTTTTATTCAGTTCTAATTTTAAATAATTAATTTTTATTTTTATTTATTTATTTTTTTCATAATTGGTACTCACACAAACATGCCTCCACTAAGGCTTGAACCTTTAACCTCCCTTTAGAAAGTAAGGGCCTTATACCGCTAGGCCATCGACCCGTTGGTCAGTTCTAATTTTAAGACGTTGATTATATGCTTCCAAAAACAATGTAAATTACTACATGTTCTTTTAAATAGGGACATTTATTATGGAACACTTGAAAAATGAAAGGGACTTTTATTTTTGGGACGGAATTAATAATATCAGTACTTTAGTTCTAGAATGTGTCAACAAAGCCGTAATTCTTCTTTTTTATTTCTCTGTGTTTTTCCCCCTCTAATTCTATCTTTTGATAAATTTCTCTCTCCCTTTTTTTTTTCAAAAAAAAAAAAATATTTACAAAGGGTTTTAGAAATTTTACGTCATCTCTCTCTCTCTCTCTCCTTTTTCTTTGTTTAGGATTTTGATTACAAAAACTTTGTAAAGGGAGTTTAGAAATTCTACTCTAGTCCTCTCTCTCTCTCTCTCTCTTCTTAAATGAGAGAATTATTGTTATCACTCTAGTTATTTAGATTTGTGGATTTTGAATCTAAGGTTGATGAAAATAATATTAGTCTTAGGATATATATCATATACAGTGTTGTTAAAGGTTCGGTGTCAGCTCGAATTCGAGCCTCAGAGCAGTCACATTGTGAAATACCAAAAGTTAGGCTTGTCTCAAGTCCTCCTCCTCCAAGAACTTCTTGTGACGGTACCAAGAAGTGGGTAAAGTCCCTTATTTACCGTGCCCTCGTCATGTCTGTCTTAGTTTTTAGGATTTCTCGCATCTCTATATTCATGTCATTTTGAATTTGTGTCTGTTTTTCTTTGCTTTATAAAAGTGGTATAGCTGGTTTTGTTGACAGTATTTTTTAGATGAAAAAATGGCAAGCTCATTTGATTATAATGATACTGGGAAACATTTTTAAAAAGTATGCAAATGGCATAAATAAGGTTAAAAGGTGTTTCCCCCTCCTAAAATCCATCTATACTCTCCCTTATTGGATTAGAATTGAGTGTGTAATGATTAAATCTTTTTGATTCTTATAAATAGGATGCATATGTGTCATGATTCTTCTTTCATGGTCTTCTATGTCAGAATATTAGCACGACACTAGGAGGTGTGATTGGGGAAGTAGCATTACCAGGCCTCAATACTGGGATAGGTTACTGATAAAAATAGATTCATTTAGGAGGGTTTTTTTCATTATTATTTTTTTGAAATTTACTGGAAGATGGACTTTTGGATAGTAGATGCTGTAATTGCTATTTGCTGCCTTGACAATTTGCAACTTACCTGTGTCATATTATATGTATATGCATATGAAATCTATCTGAAAAGCATACAATTGATGTTGATAGGTATTTGCTGTGATTTTGTGAATCTAATTTATTTGTTTTGTGGTTTATAGATGGATGAAGTGCTGGCTTCGGTTGCTGAGACCATAAAGAACTTTGCTGTGATATACCTGGTGGACATCACAGAGGTGCCCGACTTCAATACAATGTATGAGCTGTACGACCCATCTACCGTCATGTTCTTTTTCAGGAACAAACACATAATGATCGATCTTGGCACCGGAAACAACAATAAGATCAACTGGGCAATGAAGGACAAGCAGGAGTTTATTGACATTGTTGAAACAATCTATCGAGGGGCTAGGAAGGGTCGTGGGCTGGTAATTGCCCCCAAAGACTATTCCACCAAGTACCGTTACTGAGCCCTCTCAGGACGATTTGTGGACTTGATTTCTAAACAACCCATTATGCAACTTGTGTGCTAAGCACCTGCAGTTTGGAACTTTATGACTCATAACTGACTTTGATGAATTGGCTTGTTATTATATTTCTAATACAATCATGTTATCGTCACTGTTGATGATGATTGTGGTGTTTAAGATAACCCTAGATGGTTTTGTTGATTTAGGGGGTGATATGATTTCTCAATAATAACAATGTTATTGCCATGTCATTATTATAGATGAAGGTTATGGTGTGTCTATAAGAGGGGTTTTAAAGGTACATTGTCAATCGTCTACAATCCTGTACTCCAAGACTGCAACGCACAACAAAAACAGTAAAGAGCAGATCGCCCGAGCCGCCGAGAGTGGCAATTCGTGTTGCCTTCTAAGCACACGCACATAAATACAACAAACGACAGTTAAACCAGGTCAACATTTGTGGGGGCTAAACATAACTAAAGATTTGTGGGGACTAAACGCAACTAAACTACCGTTAGGATCATTTGACCATGACTGGTTTAATTCGATACCTAAGTATTAAATGCTAGGTTTTTGCGTATGGGATGATGCTATAACCTTTTACACGATCATCTGTTACTATTTTAAGAGAGAATAGAAAACATTATATATTCTCGAAAGAGTGAGTGAAAATCATAAGACATCCATACATGAATTGTTAAGAATCAAAAAATATTTGATGTGTCTTCTGTATCGTGTATCGGGACATCAGAATTTTTCGTACCTTTTGTGTGTATCGGTCTTCAGAAATACCAAATAACTAAAAATATTCTTCATTCTAAAAAAGCTAAAAATAAAAACAATTAGTGGGTTCAATTTTTTTTCCAAGGAGAGAGTAAAGTGCCTCGGCCACCAAACAAGAATGACATACAGTTGAGAAACATAAATTTGACCCCTTATTCGGTGTGATTGGCCCTAGCCCACCGGCGGTTGCTCTTCTACCGGCGGCTCATTCAGGTCCATTTTCTACTCTCACTTCCTCTCTCCTCTCCTTCAACCCTTTCCTCGTTATTACAGTAGAACAACTTCATTTATTTGAACGTTAATGCATGTGTTGTGAAATTAATTTACGTAGTAGTATGAGGACATCAATCCCATGTCCTGTAGGTCTCTCATCCCTTCTTTTTCTCATTTCATTATTGTCAAATCAACTAGGAGTTCTTGAAAACGCACACATGGATTGGAAATTTTTCTATGTTGTTCGTCATCGCATCTGATTGTTTAAATAGTCTAATATGATTATCATAGCTCTGTATTTGCTGTTGGAAATTTTCTGCTGGATACTTGAATTGAATTAGTCTATCTGCTATTTGTTTTCTTGTTGCCTGAACTATCTTTTATTGTACTATGTTGCGGTTTTTGTTTGGTATTTAGTATTTACTTTTATTTGTTTGTTATTAGGAAAATCAGTAATGTCTGTTCTAGGGTTGGGGTTGAACCTTGATGACAACGGGGTAAACCTTGATGACAACACCCCTCTTTGGAAGTATGTTAAAAAGTTGGATAGAGTTGGAGGAGGGTGTGGAATTATACAACTATAATGGAATTATTTTCAGTTGACTTTCAAGTGATCATACTATAGGGTGAAAGTATCACGACCCTAAAGTGATACCAATTCAAAATAAAATTCGGCATGACCTCTACTAAGAAGGATCCTACCACAACCTGTTGAAATGGATAAAAAAAATGTAATGGCCTCACTTGGCCATAAACTAATCTATCCTGTCCCAACACACAATGCAAACAATATACCAATTCCCAAAATAACTATATACATATAATCAGAGTCCCTTCCCTCCAATTCCTTCAATAAAAAAAATATGGAAGTGCCAGTCCACTACTTAGTCCCATACTCCTTTACAAGGAACAAAATCTAATTACATCAATTTACAGTCTATGAAATACAACTGAAATCAAAAGTCCATAATTTACAACATTATAAAAATTATACTAAAGTTTTACAGAATAGTCAAAATTTACATTTACAAAATATTAAAGTTGTAAAAAAAAAATAGCAAAATATAAATTTCCAATCCCGTCTAAACTTGTGGTGGATGGTCATTCGCCACCTCCTTTTCGTGTCCTGAAAAATATTAATAATAAGGGGTGAACAAAATTGCTCAGTAGGTGGTGCCTAAGACACCTCTTGTGACCCCGTGAATCCAAACAATGAATAGGAATAAAGGATGGGGGTCATGCTATGCCGGGAAAGAATACAACATTAATTCCAATTTTCAAAAAAAAACAATGCCGTGCCATGATATGCGATGCCATATATGTCGCTCCTCACTTTCAAAATCCAAATCCATCACTTTTCAAACTGTTAATATAACCCGTCCGTTAGTGACTCCGCAGCGACATGAGAGAAGGATTAGCTACTGTCCCTAACCCTTGGTACCCCCGCGGCGTCATTTGGGGCCCAGATAGCTCAACCACGCTAAGGTGTTTTCCCTTGTTCCCTCTAGGTTACATTAACACACCGGCCCTTTGGTGACTCCGTGGCGACCGAGTTTTCTCAAAACCATTTAATCAATATTTCTTCCCAAAAATCCCCCCCCCCCCCCCCCCCCCCCCCCCCCTTCCCTTCTTTTCTCAAAACATTTCCCATCCTTCATGCCCCATGACATGCATGTATGTCTCATGCCTTCAATACCATGGAAACAAGATATTTTCGAGTAACATAATTAATCATTCTTTGCCAAAATTTTCAAAGAAAACACATATAGTTATATACATCATTTTTAGCACAATTCATAACATGATAGACATAGGAAATCAACATTTAAGCATGCTTTTCATACAAATCAACATGTATATATAGAATCATGAACTTTATCTATTATTGCAAGATCATTCTAGGATAATTATCATCAATTAGACAAATTCACAACAATTACATGAAATTAACTCACAAAGGAACAAGAAAATGTGGGTTAGAGACCCATACCTCAATTTTATACAAAACCCTCAATTTGTGCCCTAGATCCCAATTCTCCTAGAGTGCACCAAACACCAAATTGCTCCGATTAACTTAAAGATCTCGTCGTGGGCTTCAATTTGCCGCAAACGGCACTTAAAAACATAAGTATTGAAGGAGAAATCTAAACTTGAAGTTTTGATAGAAAATGAAAAAGAAAAAAAAGCAAGAACAGTGAGGTGAGGGAGAGACCAACAGGAGAGAGAAGGTGAAGGAGGAAATGAGACCAAAAATAGGTCTCTTAGCCTTTTTGTGTGGTAATGGTGGGTCCCGCCTATTTTAATTTTATTTCCCTTTTATTTTTGGTTTCTTTCTACACCACATAAATACTTGTACACATTAAATAATGTACAACCTTATACAACACATTAAACAAGATAAATATGATGAAAATGAACCCAACCAAAATACCCGTATGCAACAATTCCGGTAACGGATCCCACACTGAGCCGTCCGGCCCGAAAAACAGAAAAAATGTAGAAATGGTCACCCTGGCATTTCAAAGAGTCCTGGACTCAATGCAATGTCCTAAACAACTCTAGGACACAACTGGCACACTCCGCAGTGTCTGGTACGCAAGAAGGTAAAAGACAAAATTGCCCTTGCAACGACAAAAATTTTCGAAAAAATGAAAAATGGCGAAAAATGGAAATATCACAATCTACCCTCCTTATAGAGATTTCTTCCTCGAAATCTACCTTCCTTAAGAAAAAGGCCCACAGCCACACTCTTCAAGAACACCTCACAAAACCCTGAGACTATGAACCTACCGACATTATTGCCTTCGACACCGGATGTCACCAGGCAATCACACACCACTACTACTAAAACCCAAAGCGGATACCCATCTCTCCCTTTATCATAACAGAAGACCAATTAGACTTTGCGTCTGGCTCAAAACGGACATCAGCCTACTCGACACATTCACAAAAGGCTCCAAGGCCCGAGAAAAGAACAGTCATCAGACCACCGAATAATACAACATCCAACCTCAACTCATTCTTCAAAGGACACACAAAATCCCAATTTTATACATCCCCATCAGACCAAGCACTCGGTATCTAACACGTAGCTACATCATCACATAACCGCACCAACATCTACTAATCGCACTATACGACAACCATTACACCCACAACTTCAAGACGATTAAACAATGAATCCCCCAATAACTGCATAAACATTAGTCACCAAATCAGTAAAGCGCACTATGCTGCACCCAGGGCACAAATCCTCAAAACAAGATATTTAATTATCAAATGGATTGGACACTTGGTCCCACCTAACACACCTCGTCACCCGAGACAAACCATCTGAATCCACTCCACCATACTGACACACGCCCAATACTGTACACTCACTATTCGTGACAATTTAAAGCAATCATTGACCTTTAACCCGACATTGTGCTAAAGAGGAATTGATTCAAGAGAAATGGTTGGCCAGGCCATCCTCATCCTCGATCCGGTCTCAGCACAAATGTCATTCTTATCCTCAGGCCCACACCTCAAATATAATCTCACACAGTTCACAAAACAACAATGAGATCCACTCGCTATCAATCCATTACTCTATATAACTTCAACAACTATACAGTCATATACATATTCTTATAATCTCAATCATACCTCAATCATATAACCATAACAAACAAAACGATAAGGCACCAAATGTCTCAATCATCGATTAGCATCAAAGCTTCCTAATCTTCTCACCGTACCCATACCAGGTAAACAATTCCGTAACATCATTCGATTTAATTCTGACTTCATCAAAACACACAATACGACTATCTCATGTCCGAAACCTCAAAACTAAAGTCAATCATTCCCATTATTCTTCAATAAAATCCCACATTAACTTTCTAATTGCATACTCAAGACACTGCTCAAATCAACATCAATAAAAACACCCGAGTACATGACTCATATTACATCACCTAATCATCCTCTAATGTACAGTTCACGACATATCCCCTAGCCACCATTGCTAGTACTAAACATCGGAAACACAACTCCTATTCGGTGACTTGTGCCTCGCATTCTACCAGTTAAAATCACTCTCATAATAAGCACTACAAGAACCCAAGACTCCACCTCCCTCCGTGGAAGTGAGTCAACCCATTCAATCAGGACCTCCACCGATAAACTTTAACAATGCAACAAATCCGACACAGATCCGTCCAACCACGGACGTGCACAACTCCTAAATGGAGGACAAAACTCACGACAAACGACGCCCTGACCAGAACAAACAAAAAGGATAACGAACCCAGCTCTTACAAGAGACTGATGACTCGCACCTAAATGAACCTGAGAATCTATCACACATTACTCATCGTTCGTCCAACCATGGACACCCAATCTCTCTTGAGATGAAATGAACTCCTTATACACAAGGAGAATAACCAACTTGGAATCACATACGAGACCACGAACACCAATCTAAGCGACCTCACCATTAACAGACCGTCCTACACAATCATCACAGAAACCTCACACACACTTCTCCGCAACACTATGCTAACCGAAGCCAAGTAGATAAAAGCACCAACACCCTCAACATACTAACACTAGGAACCATTACTACACGTTGGACACCGCGTCCCATCCTACCCAATAATCTCCCAATGAGAAACTCTATGAAATACAACGATACATGGTCACCCGTTCCACCTCTACCCTTTGAAGGCGACACTGCCTCGATCACCGTGCGCACAAAACCCGTGATCTCAATCACAACGACCCACTGACTCGCCAAAAGAAAAGGGTGCCTATCTGGCAACATCGTCCTCACTAACTCTAGTGACTACACCGCCCACAATTGCTTCAACTGGCACGCCATCCATCACCTACTTGACAACACACAACAAACAACTCGTAATTTCCAAACTGCATTTGGATCATACCTTAAACCATTCTGCTCATCAGAACTAAGCATCACACTATAACACCATAACACCTCTACTGCCACTCATTCC